TCCTCCTCTCCCCGTAGGATATCCTTTTCCCTGCCAGATCTGACAAAGGGCCAGGCACAGACACCACTTTTTCCATGAAGCCTTCTCTGCTCTCTCCTTCCCACCCCCTTCCTTCCACCAGACCCACCTCTGCCTTGAACACCATAATTCTATTTCTAAGTTTATTCCTGCCTCCTCATACTTTCTCAGTCAGCCTTGTATTCAATTATTGCTGTGCGTGTCCTGTCATCTTTACCAACTTGCATACTCTTGTGATGTTCCCTCGCGGTACCACTTCTTTGTGCTCAGAAGCCCTTAGTGATGTTTGTCAAAAGGAAAGAATGGCCCTGCCGCTGTGGCTCAGTTGGTTGGAGTGTCATCCCCATACACCAAAAGGTGGCAGGTTCGATTCCCAATCAGGGCACATACACAGATTGCAGGTTCAATCCCCAGTCGGGGTGCGTGTAGGAGGCAACTGATTGATGTTTTTCTCTCACATTGATGTTTCTATCCCTAAAAATCAATAATAATAATAAAAAAGAATGAATGAGTGGTAATCCATGTAGAGGTCAAGGTCAAAGATGAAGTCATCTGCAAAATGAAGCTGATTAAGTTATAGCTAAAGTTTCTTTCTGTCCTAAAATGTGGTTACATCTGCGAAGGAGCTCTCCTAAGGAAAAGGAGATAGACTGGGTAAGGTAAACATATTAAACCTTGAGAAACACAGTCTGGAAGGAGGAAAAAGGGTCAGAAAATGGTAATATTCAAGGTAGAAAAGTTTAAGAACAAGGAACTGTTAACATACCTGAACTGAAGAGAGGCTTATGGAAAAAAAGATCAAACATGGCCACTGGGATTTTGCAAGAGGAAGAATGTTTATGAGCTGCTTGAGAGATGCTTCCAGAGTTCTCTGGAAATAAGCCAGACCCCAGGGGTTAGGAGGGACTGGCCAGCGAGGAAGTGGAGGCACTCTGAGAGGACACTGTTTCCACATTGATGCTGCATTGGGCCATTGAGTATATTAATATACTGGTGACACTGTAGACCCCATGGTGACAAACAGACTTGGCACAAATGGGTGTGAAACAGAACAGCTCAGAGGCAAGTAGACAGATAGTCGGGATTGGATTGAACTATTCCACAGGGCAGAACCCCAGAGAAAGCTCACTATTCTCTCCCAGGTGGCAGCTGTATTTCTTACATTCTTTTGCACAACCTCCAGATAAGATCAGGAGACTGACATGTTATTTGAGGCAGTGCCTCTTGTCACTACATATTTGTATAAACTTCTGGTTGTCATTCCGGGGGCATGCCAATCTGGGCTACTGCCTAACTACATTTACAGGTCACCTAATTTTACCTTGTCATAATGCTGGGAAGGGCAACAATAAAGACAAGCTGATGGGGGAACACGCTCTAGCATCTGGGGCAGCCTCGATAAGCTCAAAGTCATGTAGGTAGCCAGGTTCTAATCCAGGTTGTGCCTCTCACTACCTTTGTGGTACCCTCCCAGCTCTTAACCTTTTAACATTTCAGTGTGGCTTCTGGAAAAGGGGCTAATAACACCACCTCCTAGAACTGTTGTGAAGATAATGTGAGATGATCCTGTAAAGCAGGTATTTTTGCTCCCACAACTACCCCACATGTGCTGTAAATTCAAGTCTGTTTGGAAGCTGAGGCAATAGCACTGGGATCACTAAAAATAAATCGGAGTCGACTTATTCTGATAAAGACACTTTCTTTGAGATGTTACTGGAGCTTTCAACCATGACCTCCCTGTTTGGTTTTACCAGCTTTTTCTTTCTAAGAGAGCTACCATCTCATTAAATAGCTATCTGCAAACCAACCTCATACTCTTTTTTTTTCAAATCTTCACCTGAAGATATTTTTCCATTTATCTTCAGATAGAGTGGGAGAGAGAGAGAGAAACATCAGTGTGAGAGGGACACATCGATTGGTTGCCTCCCTCATGACCCCAACCAGGGTTGGGGACCGAACTGCAACCAAGGTACGTGCCCTTGGCTGGAATCTAGCATGAGACTCTTTGGTCTGCAGGCCGACACTTAAACCGCTGAGCCAAACTGGCCAGAGCCTCGTAATAATTTTTAAAGGAAATTTTGAAGTGTTTTAAACAGAAATAAGGCATAAACTCTTTTAAAGGCTAGGTCATAGTTTGTTCCACTAGAGGGCGACATTTACTAAAAGAAAGAAAAGGGACTCGGCCAAAAGGGATTAACACCAGACATTAAGAGGAAGCTGGATCCCAGGATCTTGGGTGCCCTTAGTCACCTGAGGAAATTGGAAAACACAGAGTCTTTGGGCTCCACCCCTGGAAATTCCGAGTCAGTAGGGGAAGAGGGCACGAAAAGGTATTGGAAATCGATTTTTTAAAAACTCTCCAAGTTTGGGAACCACTGTATCAGAGAGAAGTGAAAATAAGATTTTAACTAAATTTCTCTTTAACTAAATTTCTCCCACCATTCACCATCCAGATATACTACTCAGGTCCTGCTGATGTATACATTGATATGTTTATTTATTCTTTACCTTGATGCAAAAATAGCATTTATCGTTACAGTAAGACCACCTTTGCTTTGCTTAGAGTTTGCTATTTAATGTGATTTCCAGAAAAGTCTTTTATATGGGCAGGTCTACTCGAAAGGCACCCTACAAACTATTTCCATTTCTGCTTGTATATATCTAAAGCAATATCTAGCTGTGGAGTAAGGTTATGTACAATGCTGCCATAAATAAAGCCATCGCTTATCAGTATGAGTTGCCAGTCAAGTGAACTGTATAAAACATGTCAAGTGTAAGAACAACCTAACTAGTGCACAAGAAATTCTGTAAGAACAACCTAACTGGTGCATAAGAAATTCTGAGAGCACATAACAGTGCAGTTAAGGCCTGGAGGGTTTAATCCAGCTGTGCAACATAACTATACCTACCTGACTCAGGCTCCTTGGAATGGATTTTTTTTTTTTCTTTATTGGATCTTTAAAACTGGCCCTGGCCAGTTTGGCTCAGTGGTTGAAGTGTCTGTCTGCAGACCAGAGAGTCCTGGGTTCGGTTTCCACTAGGGGCACGTACAAGAAAACAAAAACAAAAACTGATTTATGAGTCAGATTGAGGTTAAGCATCCACTTTGTATTTCATCTGCTGGTGCTTACAAGGTCACAATGACATTTTGAATTGTCAAAGGGCTGCCAGAGTTTCAGCACATAAAGTTCCCCTCCTAGACTTACTGTTTGAGAAAATGCACCAGAGATAGGATGTGAAAGTAGCGTTTTCCAGTCAAGCTTCCTTTTAACTCAAGCTTGTAGTCTTAGAGATCCTGTTGTCATCTTGCAAGCTGGACAGGTAATCAATAAAGGGCTCCTCCCTGGGCACCTGGCCACATTGCTCAGGAGTGATGCAGCCTCTGTTTTATTTTTTATCCTCACCCGAGGATATTTTCCCATTTTTTTGTACAGATAGAGTGGGAGGGAGAGAGAGGAAGGGAGAGAGAGAGAGAAACATCGACGTGAAGGGACACATTGAGTGGCTGCCACCCACACAACCAACCAGGGCCGGGGACAAACTGCAACCGAAGTACGTGCCCTTAGCAGAAACCGAACCCGGGTCTCTCCGGACCGCAGGCCAATGCTCTAACCGCTGAGCCAAACTGGCCAGGGCTATGCAGCCTCTGTTTTAACCCATCTCCCCGCCAAGCCCAAAACTCTGTTTGCATTTAGACATGCAGATAACACTTTTCAGAATGTGTCTATCACTTACACAGTAGCCAAGATTCAAACTGTTCTTAAACTGGTCTGTTGGATTCTCCAACGTCGGTTGGGATTCGTCCCTTGACTATGACCCAGCATAGGGATATGGGAATGGGGAACTCTAATTACAGATTTTGTCTTACTACAAATATTTCTGTATTACAGTTAGGTAGGATTGATCCACAGTGCACACAGACCAGATATTGGTTCAGTCCCCCACCACTTCTTTGCTATTTTCTCTAGCATTGCTTACTTCCTCCTAACCCCTGAAAAATCTTAGGTTGTATTATGAGCAAGTAGGGAAAAATTAGAGAAGTTGCTTTCCCTTTTTCTTTTTCTCCTAGGACCTATCAGTGTTGTGCTCCGAATCTTAGTTTACTCATTACAAACAACATGTCCTCTGTTCTCTCTTCCATCTAAGTGGAGGGCAGCATGGGGCCCAATGACCAAACAGCTGCTGGGCTCTTTATTCAGGTTAATAGTCCATAGCCCTCAAATAGACCTTGTTTGAGACCTTAACACACCTACTCCCCCCAATGAGTTGTGTGACACATGTCATCGCAAGCTTCAGGTCACATGTACAAATGCCATGTAAACACCATGACACCAGCAGCCGAAATGGTTTCCTTTTTTGCTTACAATTTTTGGCAAATGATTTGGTCATGGTTTATTCCAAAAGGAGCTGATGGCTGTTGGACATGACTTGCGGGGAATTCCTGAGAGGAAAAAAGAAAAGGGAAGAAAGAGGCCTTCGGACTAGCTGAGTCGCAGCTGGAGGACCCCAGCGCTGTGGACTCAGCGACTGTGGGCGCAGGGCAGAAGCACTGTGTCTGCTGCAGCCCCCCGCCAGCTGCTGTCCCTCACTCCGGAGGTTGCGACGATTCCACCATGGCGGGAAGACGAAGCAGGGGCCTGGGCAGCCTGCACCACCCGTCTTCTGGCCTTAGCCCTGATCAAGTCTGACGCAGTGGACCTTAGTGGGACCTCCTGGGCGACGGGGCGCACCCGCGAGGCGGGGCTGCCGGCCTTCCCCCGCACGTGGATAAGCTCCTAGCCGCGATCGCTGGGCGCCCCTAGACACCGTCCGCCCAGGCCGGTCCTGTCCAGCAACGCCAGCTGCGGGACCTGGGCCTGCCCGACGTGGGTGCCACCCTCGGCCCCGCCCCTCCCGCGAGGGCCCCGCCCAGTTTGGGGTCCGCCCCTAGGTCGGCCCCGCCCCGACCGGAAGAAGCGCCGGCACCCGGCGCTTAAAGGGTCGGGAATGGGGGTGCCGCCACCGCCTAGTCAGCTCTGCGTTCGCTGAAGACCGGTACCACCGCGCTGTCGTCGCGGCGCCCCCGCCCTGTGCTCTGCCCGCCCTCGCCGACCCCGGTAGCGGCTGGCGGACCCGGAGCCAGGACGGAGTTCTCGCCATGCCAGCCCGGCGGCTGCTGCTGCTGCTGGCGCTGCTGCTGCCCGGCCCCAGGGTGAGTCACGGGGGTCGTGGGGTGGAGGGACATCTCGGGGCCCCCGGCTCCGAGCTGGGAGCGCGGCGGCGGCGGCTCGGGGCCCGTGCTCCCCGGCGGAGGCTCGGGCCGGGCGTAGGAGGTGGCGCTCGGCGGGGCGCGAACGCCTCCTGGCCGGCGGAGTGGCGGCCGCGGCCGGCCCGGGCCACGCGCACGCCGCCCAAAGGGCCTCGCGGGCCAGCGCGGCTGTCACGGGCAGCGCGCTCGCCGGCCTTGTGCGCAACTTTGTGTCGCCCTGGCGGCACCTCGGGGTCTCCAGGAGGCCACCTGCGGGACCGTCCCCTAGGTGGGCGCGGAGGAAGGACTGAAAGGGCCCTGTGATCGAGGGGAAGGGAATGTCTCATAATCCTGGTTGGAACTTTTAACACGCGAGAAGTTTGGGAAGCGAGTGCAGTTGAAGAGGGAAGAGCTTGATCCTGCTTACCTGTCTTGCAGGTTTCTTGGTATTGCGAAGCAGGAGGCTTCCTTCTATGCACCAGTACTTCGTTAAGCAAGTTAAGCTGTGGGAATTGGACCCTTTTTAAAAACCTCATATGGGACAGCGGTGAAGCCGCTTCCAAACTTGAAATAAAAAGCTGTCTCCTATGTGAAACACTGTGGGGCTGTCCGAAACGTCTTTTTTTTTTTTTGAGAGAAGTGCCTGGTTTAAATTTATTTAACTATTTAAGACCTTTCACTCTGGCTGTGCATTTGGGCACCACGGCTGGGAGGACATTTTGTGGACAGACTTGGGTATTTTTTCTTGTTGGAAGAACCTATTTTTGTTTGTTTTGTTTTTTTTTTAAACGTATTGTTCAGGATGTGGATATGGTACATTGGTGCAGGTTCTGTTTAATGACCTCCACTGTGTACTCTTTAATATGGATATCATGTACCAGGTGTCCAGATGGAAAATTGACATATGTGTACCTGAGTGCCACAGCGTGAACTGTAGGAGATTACGCATTTTAGATAAATAATACTCCATGCTCTTGTAGAAACAAGGATTTGGAAAGAGCTGGAATAATATATAAGGTTATCTTTTTCACATTCGGCTTTTTTTAAAAAAGCAAAATTTGTGCACACTTTACGTTAGACCTTGTGTAAGTTAAGTTTTTCTTCTAATTTAAGAGAAAAAAAAATCCACTTTCACAACTAGGGTCAAAGTTTTGAACTTAAACACTTTATCTTGGATTGGTTAACTGCTGCCAGGCATCTGATCACAAATAAGAGTATAAACAGAAGGACCATTTGTATGGCATGGAAATTGATCGTTTCGAATAATGAAGGCAAGGTGTATATGGTTTTCTTTGCCACGTATTTCCATGCTGTTCTTTCTTTGGATTCCAGTGTTTTAGTTATTGAATAATTGAGGCTTAAACTGCCAAAAATAACTATTTAGCTTTATTTAGGAATATAGTTTCAGTTCATGTAAATATTTGCAAATTGTATTTAGAAACCCAAACTTCTCAGAGTTCATGGTAAACTATTCCAGACCCCTATCAAAAGGTTGTGTGTTAGTGTCACTACTGTTTTGGGTAAAAGGTCAGAATTTCACTCCCAGAATTATCTCCCAGCAAAAATTTCAATCCCCAAATGTAGTAAGAATTCTTATTTGAAAACTCTAATGAAACCCACTGCAAAGTGTGCAGTTAAACTAGGCAGCAGTGATAGAATGTATAGAACGTATTCCTGTAAAATTAGACAAACCTGCGTTCTGACTGATCACGTGCTAGCTGTGCCCTCAGGCAAGGTATTTTACTCCTTAGAGATTCTGTTTGCTGATGTGTGCAGTGGGGACAGCTAACACACTAACACGCCTGAAGGCACCTTGAAGTTCATAGATGATAAATGTATTCTCCTTACCCCACCCCCTCACTCCACACAGGTGCTTTTTACTCTCAGTCATTTTTTTTTTCTTAAATATTATGTGTCTGCAAGGAACATTGTTTCATGCTGTTTCTTTTTGCTTGATGAAAAAACTAGAGCATTGGGGGCAATACTGTGATTTTTTTTCAATGTGTGTCTGACTGAGCCAGACATTGACTCATCATGGGCTGCAACTCTAGGCTACCAGATCAAAATGCAATAACATCAGTGTTATTAAGGATTTGAGGCTGTTAATCCAGAATATGCTTATTTAGTCGGGGAGTTTTCCCCTCCTTTCTAGATCCGGATCTTTTTCCTAATGTTGGTTTGTGTTACATCACATCATCGCTGTCATGTAGTCCTCATTTTACCTTACTGAGGTACCCCTTCTCTCAAGTGCCAAAGAGATGAGTAGCATGTGCAGCAAAGTACTTTCTTCAGTTATAATGTATACATTTCTTTTATTCATCCAGTGTATTGGTTTTACTTATTTTTAAATACATTTATTTTTCCATTACAGTTGACACATAATATTATATTAGTTTCAAGTGTGCAACATAGTGATTAGACCCAATGTTTTGGTTGTAGAGCAGAATAAAAAATGTCACTGAGAACTGAGGACCATGTGTGTACAGAAACACATTGAGAATGAATAGCATCTGAGACCTGAGTCTTAACCTGGAATGTCCTTGCTTACCATGTATTCTGATTGTTATCATCTGCATGAATTATCCTAATAGGAGATAGCAAGTATTTATACTGAGGCCAGGAGGAGAATGTTTCATTAAGTTCATGTTATCAGGGCTGCTAATCATGAAATGAGACTGTAGTTGTGCACATGTGTTTGTGTGTTATTTCATTAACTTGCCTGCCGAATGGGCTTTCCTTAGTAACATAGCTTCTCAGAGCACAAAAGAAAAAGTGTATGAGAAGTCCTCGAGAGAGTTCAATGGTAGACCGTATTCCAGAATATGGAACCAGTGGGCTTTGTAAGGGTTTCTTCATGTCTGGACAGAATGGCACCACCTGCGTGGGCCTGGGGGATAGTTATTTGCCTGTCTCAGATTCCGACTCCATTTTTCAGGTTGAAGAACCATTGGAAACTTCTTTGGTTTGGAGATCCAAAGTAACCTTTTGGTTCAATACTGTGTATGTTTTATAATGATCAAATGTTCTCCCTAAAGAGATGATATAGGGGAGAAAAGCCTAATGTATCATTTTAATGGATTCCATTTTTATTATGCTCAAATAACTCGGGGCCTGTAACCTAGCAATATGATTAGAGTGTGATGTGGCTTAAACAACAGTGAATCACAGTCCATGAATAAGAAACATGCTGGTTGAATATATTTCCCAGGGGCTGGTAATTTTTTTTTTCTATCTTTATCTTTGCTATATCCTATGTTTGGTGGCCTGCCACTGAGCCACACATTCTCAGAGATATTTAAATGAGACCAGATAAGGATTGGGAAAAGTAGAACTTAAAAAGGTAATCATAAGCTCTTCGCTTGCATTCCTTTTTTAAAATTAAGTTACATTTAAATAGTCTAAATCACTTCTGATTAGCTTGTGATCTTTGTTCATGTACAAACAGCAGATACAACAGTGTAAAAACATATGTTTATATTTTTGTTTGTTTGTTTTTTTTCCACAGAATGTTTCCCATAACCTATTAGGAAATGTTCTGAGTGCACCATAGCATTTGTTGTTTTTAGTAGTACTTTAGTAAACCAACATCCATGCCCAAAGCATTTGAGCCTTTGTGCCCAGCCCCAGGTCGGGGACTGGGACTGTTAGTGACTGGGGCTGACGCGGTACTAGGCCTTGCTTTGCCTAGTGATCACCCTGCTGAGGTCATGTGGATTGTTTGCAGTTTTTCCACTCTTTTAAAGAAAGGTGGCCCTGGCCGGTTTGGCTCAGCGTTTGGAGCGTCGGCCTGCGGTACAGAGAGACCCGGGTTCGGTTCCTGCTAAGGGCATGTACCTTGGTTGCAGTTTGACCCCGGCCCTGATTGGTCGTGTGGGTGGCAGCCACTCGATGTGTCCCTTCACGTCGATGTTTCTCTCTCTCTCTCTTCCTCTCTCTCCCTCCAGCTCTATCTGAACAAAAAATGGAAAAATGTCCTCGGGTGAGGATAAAGAAAAAAATAAATAAATAAATAAAATAAAATAAAATAAAGAAAGGTGTATTTCCCTTTTTTTCCCGAATCCTTTATGTGTTTAGTGCTTTGTGAACGATAAGATGGGAAGATTCTTTTAATCCCTCAAAATAGTCATATTCATTGTAGAAAAGTTAGAAAGCAATAGATAAGTCTAAACAAACAAACAAACAAAATATATATATATATGTTTTTATTGATTTAAGAGGGGGAGAGAGCCCTGGCCAGTTTGGCTCAGCGGTTAGAGCGTCGGCCTGCGGTCTCAAGAGACCCGGGTTCGGTTCCCGCTAAGGGCATGTACCTCGGTTGCAGTTTGTCCCCGGCCCTGGTTGGTCGTGCGGGTGGCGGCCACTCGATGTGTCCCTTTCACATTGATGTTTCTCTCTCTCTCTCTCTCCCTCTCTCTCCCTCCCGCTCTACCTGAACAAAAAATGTCCTCGGGTGAGGATAAAAAAAAAAAAGAGGGGGGGAAGAGAGAGAGAAACATTGATGAAAGAGAAACATTGATTGGCTGCCTTTGCACGCCCCCTAATGGGGATCAAGCCCACAACCTGGGTGTGTGCCCTGATTGGGAATTGAACAGAGGACCTCTCAGTGCATGGGAGGATGCTTAACCAACTGAGCCACACTGGCTAGGGCTTGAACTCATCTTAACTGCTGAATTATTCCTTAAGATAAATTCCTAGAACTGGAATTTGCTGATCAAACATAGTCCTTTTATAGCCTCCCTCCCCCCACCCCCAAACAGTTTTGGGTGTTTTAAAAAGCACAGACCTTGCCTTAAATTGGGTTTATAAAATAGCCTCTTTAAGCTGTTTTCTTTTAGCAGTATGGATTTTAAGTCAAGTGAAAATGAAATATTTAGATTTTGTTTTGCTTATATTTTGAAGACGTAAATAACCATAGTAGTTCCTTGATGGCACCTTACATACCAAGAACCACTGAGAAAATGCTT